TAATAATACATTGTTGTATTTTTAGACATGCTAAGCGAGTGTATCGTTTTCGAAGAGAGGCTTTTATTTTGAAATCTAAAAGGAAGTGCGCCTCGAAGTGTTTCCTTTACTTTACGACAGCTCCACCAGGCAGATGTGGACCTCAACTGGAGAGTGGAGTTTGACAGGGGTTAGTTACCCACGCCATGGCAGCAGAGTCAGTGAAATGTTTGTGTATGTGGCTGCTGTTGTGCCTCTGTGTCCGGGCGTTCGRGACMAAAAACACCCGGTAAGACTGCAATRTTATAAGGTTTCCTTTGAGCTAATGGCTAATTTTTTCGTAGCAGAGTCCTGTGAAAGAATTTAGTTCCGCTTTTCTTGTACTTCTCGGTGGTTGTTGCGTTTGCGTCTGTGGGACAAAAAAATGATTAAGTTAATTTAAACTGTTGTGTGGTTTTTTTTGTGTGGAAGAAAAAATGCACAAATCAATGCTAACCTTACTTTCAAGTTGTTGAGCAACAGCTGTTCTTGTAAAGAACGCACTTTAATAGCATTTACTCAGAAATTAATAACCTAAAAACAACGATTAAATTGCACATCACTGACATATAAGTGTTTTAAAGATTAGTTTTAACATTTTAACTCAATTTAAACAATAGTTTTATTGAACCTTTGATCATAAGTCAGCACGTGACGCTTCTTTCTGACAGTTTCTGCAGATTGGCATTGGGTCAAACCACTAGGTGGTGCTGCTCTATCATAAATCTTCTTCAAATGTCACCATTAAACTCTTAAATGTTGCATTGCATTACGTTAGTACATATATAAGAAACAGCCAAACACCCGCTTATGTCTTTTAAAYATTTGGTCACATTTGTCTTAGAGCGTTTCCAGAGTTAGGAATTTCAATAATTCATTGAGTTGTTACCAGCAGAGCCTAGTTTTTCCAGGTCAACTGGTAAAACGCTGAAGTTTCTTTGAAAATGCCACTGGTATTGTGCAAATTCAACAAGTTAAAAAAATGTTTTCTTGCATTTTTGTTTTGCATCTTTACAGACTTTCTGCAAACGATGACATCCTCCGACCGTATACCCACGGACACGGCCCCGACCACTCTCACCGCTACGTCAGAGATTGTCAACCTGTCATTTATGGCGACAGCACCCATGAGAGTCGGCGCTCCAGTAGCAACAGTGAACAGCCGGTTGCTGAGTCTAGGATGTTTGTGACAGATGTGCAGGTTGTGAATGGACGCACCAGATGGGTTTATGGTGAGTGCTCATGATTCGAGGAATACTTTATTATTCAAGAAACGAGCTCTTCTCCTTTCAGTGTTGTTTYGATTCCGTAGTTTCTTTGTCCACTCTTTTATCTCTGTTAATGCACACAAATTATTATTAACCCTAGGATGCGTGGACGACCACTACCTACATTCTTCCATAAGTGGGKTCAAAAATGACCTCACTTAGAATCAATGGGCCTCATGCAAGAACCGTTCGTACACACAGATTTGTTCTTAAGTTGTGCGTACGAGTGATTTAGGAGAATTTGTG